GCTTTATCAAAAAGGAAAGTCTTAAGTCTAGTCTTAAAGGTAGAGAGGGTGTCCGCCTCCTGAACTGAGACTGGGAGTTGGTTCCATAGGAGAGGAGCTTGATAGTTAAAGGCTCTGCCTCCCATTCTGCTTCTGTGGACTCTAGGAACCACAAGTAAACCTGCACTCTGAGAGTGAAGTGCTCTGTTAGGATGATAAGGCTCTACGAGGTCTTTATGATACAATGGAGCCTTGTTATTAAGGGCTTTGTATGTTAGGAGAAGGATTTTAAATTCTATTCTGAATTTTACAGGGAGGCAGTGGAGAGAAGCTAATATGGGAGAGATATGATCTCTCTTGCTCGTTCCTGTCAGTCCTCTGGCTGCAGCATTTTGGATTAACTGGAGGCTTTTTAGGGAATTATTGGGACATCCTGATAGTAAAGAGTTACAGTAGTCCAGCCTGGAAGTAACAAATGCATGGACCAGTTTTTCAGCATCACTTTGAGACAGGATGCTCCTGATTTTTGCAATATTGCGCAGGTAAAAGAAGGCCGATCTAAAAGGCATATCCAACCTATTTGGTTCTACCCTGTAGCGTACAAATAATGGCTGGCTTGTAGCTGGTGTAGTTAACTCGTGGATGTCTGGATTAGGGTACAGAACAGTTTGCCCTGAAATATTAGCTCTTCAGAAAGGCTGATGACCAGCTAGTTACTGTTTGAGTTTGTTTTTCTGTCCCATTTTAAGTTTGATGCAGAATAAAGTCTTCAGAGTGTGGGTCTGTACTGGGACAGCTCTGCTGGAAGCAGGATGTTTACTGTTTAGAGGATTACACTGGGTTCATGTTCGTTTGAGGAGAGGGGAAGCAGACTGCAGTTCCCTGTCGTGGAGCTAACTGAGATGTGGAGTAATTTAACTTTCATGTCACTGAGTGACTACTTTAGAGTCTGTTAATAATTTGGCCTTTGATATTTCAGGTAGTGAAAGCTGAACAGTCTAAATTTGTGTTGTCTAGTGTGAGTGAAGAAGCTCTAGATTGAAAACAGTAACAATCTACTGGCAGCTTCTTAACTTCATTTCTGATTTAGTTCGTCTTCTTCCGTCTGTCTTTGCCTCTCTCTCGTTGTCTTCCGTCTTTCTCTGAGTGCATGCTTGTGCATTTCTCCTGGCCATGTCCTTTGGATGCCTTTGTTGACATCCTACTACAGTAAATCAATCCTGTGTGAACAGCAGGGTGACCAGAGCCTGCACTAACACACCTGTGATTTGTCTGTTATCTCAGGTCTAAGAGCCACTTTTTGTTAAGGCTCTGTAATTTCCCAAACCTTTGCAGTTCAATCTGTCTTCTTCTGTCTGTCTTTGCCTCTCTGTCGTTGTCTTCCATCTTTCTTTGAGTGCATGCTTGTGCATTTCTCCTGGCCATGTCCTTTGGATGCCTTTGTTGACATCCTACTACAGTAAATCAATCCTGTGTGAACAGCAGGGTGACCAGAGCCTGCACTAACACACCTGTGATTTGTCTGTTATCTCAGGTCTAAGAGCCACTTTTTGTTAAGGCTCTGTAATTTCCCAAACCTTTGCAGTTCAATGTGCCTCTCTGTAAAGGTTTTCTTTCTGTGTGACAGGTCAGTGTAATTTCAAGTAAGAGACTGAAATTGTATTTTGTTATTGTTGCCGCCTCTGCTGTCAGCATCCCTGTTTTTCAAGATGAAGAATGCCAATTCAGCTTTCGACTCGTTGACATTTAAATGCTCCACCGCACAGCCTTGTTTTTCTTCTCCTCAGTGTGTGAGAGAGTGTAGAAAAATCAAAATATTTAAAGCAGCATTTATGTTTGATAGAGTCAATTCAGTTGGAGAGGGACACCAGAAAGAGTGGCTGTGTGCAGATGTGAACACACACACACACACCACATAAGGGTACTGAGAGCATTCTTATTTGTGTCAGACATTAGTCACCACATGCAGAAGTGATTTAGTGTCTAAGTTACAGGCTTGACTCCATGTGAATCATCCAGCTACATCGAGCTCTGCTTTTACATAATAAAATGTTTTTAAAAAATTAGAATTAGGCTCCCATCTGTGCTGCTCCGACCAAAACTACCCACAGTAAATAGATTCCTAAAACTACATTTTATTATGAAGATTTTTATCCTTTGTTTGCTTTGTTATGGACAAAGTGAATTATATCTGGTGTGATTACACCCAAAATCTGATGTTGATAACCGGCTTATCTTATTTTGCTTCCCCTGCTGCATTACCAGTACCTGGCATTTACTTCTTTTGTCATAACATAACTGCTATGTTTGCTTTGTGTTTTCTGTTTAACTGCTTATTGGAGCTTTCATCTTGAAAAAAGAACAGGGCCAAAGGTCTAGAACCCCACAGACAGCCGTTGGTACCTAAAGCATTAAAGTGGTACTCGGATGCTCACGGTCACCGTCTGTTTCACTTGTTCATCTCCTCCTAAACTAGTTTCATGAAAGAGGCTTGTGCAGTCTGAAGTAGACAAATCATGTTTGTATTTTGAAATTTATGTTGCTGTCCTTCTGCCACAGTTGAGAGGAGTCGCTCTCTGGGGAATTGTGCTCTAAACACAACAACTTAGCAAGGTTTCTGAACAAGGACTGTGCATTTTGGTTTAAGAAGGTGTCAGCAGCAAATAACTCTTTCAGTGTTTCAAAGTGCATGTGAGTACTGTTTGAAAACAGACATGTTGGTGACCGCTGGTTTCTCCTCAACAGTTTCTACCCACATTTCAGTCAGTTAGGAGCTAAACACCTGTTATAGACTGCAGTGTCCAGGTTTTACTGCTGAATGCCAAGCAGCTCCATTAGCTTCAAAAACAAAATACTGATACTTCTCTCTCTCTTCCCCATCCCCTCTTTGATCTTTGTCTTTGTTCTGCAGCCTGCAAGTGCAACAGCCATGCCACCATGTGCCACATCAACACTGGGAAGTGCTTCTGTACCGCTAAGGGCATCAAGGGAGACCAGTGTCAATTGTGAGTAAGGCCCACCCTGCCCCCATTTTGCTGGCCCTCAGTTGTCTGGTAGTTCAGTTAAATAACAGAGGAGACATCTGGTGATGAGAATATTAAAGAACCACTGATTTGCTGGAACAAATATTCTGACCACAAGCAACACACACTGCTCCGGCTGAGGAGAGGAGATAATTATCCTCACTCAAAGCAGTTTACGCTACTGTAGTGGTTTGAGGAGTGAATGAAATGATACTTTATTCCTTTTTACTAACTTTCCTTATTTTTGCCCCTATTAGAATCAGTCTTAACTTCAAGCAGACTACAGCTGCCACAGTGTCGAGCTATAAACCTTAGAGCCGTCTGTTAAAAGTACAGGGACTGAGTATTTTTGTAGAGCATTCCTTTGAGAGGCATTTCACAATGATTCACTGGGGAAAAAAAACTATTTTTGTCCTTTTTTATAGCAAACAGACAAAAGGTTTATTGGAAAAAGCCGTTCAGACTGTGGTGCATTGGTCTCCAACTAATATAGTTTCTAGGTTCCAGACCTTTTAAATTGCCACCCACCTGATTCTTCCAGCAGTGGTGTGCACACTAATTACCATTTACTAATCACTAATCACTGAGGCAACTGTTGGCAGGATGAAGAGCAGGCACGACATCTTGTGCCGGAGCAAAAGAGAAGTTGGCAGAAACAACATCTGCATATTTTTATCAATATAAAAACACACCACAGTTTGCAGTAGCACACTGTCAGTACGAAGGGAATGTGATCACTGCAGACTAAGGCAAAGCAACTTTTCCCTGACAGAAAATGGCTGACATGAAAATGCTATATGTCAGACTTTAAAACAATGAAGTGGAGAACAATAGCAGTTCAGTGCGATCTCCACGCTGGTCCTCTGGAACAGCACCCGGCTGCAGCTGAGCATTAGTGTACTGTCAGATTTCAGAGCTCATTTCTTTTCAGCTCACACCAAATTTCATTATTCTGAGAGAAGCAGAAACGGTGTGTTTGTATGTGTTCGCTTGTGTGTCCCTAAGCCAGTGTGCTGCAGTCGCTTTCACCTCTGATTTGCTCTGAACCCCCCCACCCTCCTCTGTCCCTCTAAATGTCTTTCAGTCATAGTGCTTTGTTTTGCTTGAGTTGCTTCAAAATGGTGTGCCAAGTACTCGGCCATTTGTATGTCATTTTGATTATGAACGAGCAATTTCCCTCAGGGGGTGGATGGTAATCACCTTCAGGTTACAGCAGGTGTGTGTGTGTGTGTCCCGTGCAGTCATAAGTTAGGGGACTGTTTGGTGAGGAAGTGTTTTTTGTTTAGTGTGTATCCTTAGGTCATGAATATCATTTTCTTTTGTACTAGATTACTTTCATTTTGTCCCATTAATATTAAACAGAACACAGTCACTTTCTTTGTTTTTGTCCCTCTTCACTTTGTTCATGTTCGGACCTGCATACAGTTTAGTCTGAAGAGACTGTATCTGTTCTCCAGTGACAGCTTTGTGCTTTTTAATGATGTTTCTCTGCTGATGTGTTGGAGTCTCCAGCAGCAGCAGCAGCTTCATCCCCTTCCCATTCAGGATCAGACTCTGGTTCATTTATCTCTATATACTGTCTTGCATTTCCAGCAGCAGACATTAGACAAGGTGAAGATAGACCATTAAGTAATCTTGCATTATTCATTAGGACCTATTTTGATTGGCTGTGTGTGAACATGAATCATCACCTCCAGCCAATGGGAGTAGGTACTCATGAATAGTGTATGGTGGTTGTTAAGGTATGTTTCTGTGGATCAGTGTTGGACAGCATGTCAGCATCCTCCGACTGTGCCACCAGCAGAGTGAAATGGCTCTTTCAGCAGATCATATCAGAGCTTAAACCTGTGCAGGCTGTGAAGCTGTGACCAGTGACAGCTGTTACACAGATGTGTAGCTCCGAGTGTGAAGGGGACAGGTCAAGATTTTTGAAATATGGTCTATACCTGAGCTACACGCACTCCCTCTGCTGTTTCACTGTGGTTATAGTAGATATAATTTTATTTTATGACATCCATGAATCATCTATATAAAGTCTAACTTGTGTGGGTTTTTGTTTTATTGTGACTGTGAATGTGTGTACTTTTCATCAGCACTCGTAGAGGTCTCCATATTAGTTCTCCTGGTTTAGTATTTTGTTTCGTGGTTTGTGTTTTGCTGATGTAACTTTAATTGGCCTCCTCTCCAGATGTAGAAAACTTCACTAATTGGCTGCTAGTTTGCATCTTTACTGCACTTGACTGTGGAGAAAGTATTTCTACTTATGAACATTTGTCATGATGAAATGCTGAAAAACTGTTTGATATTGTGTTTTCCATATTACTAACTGTACAGGGATTATAAAAATTTTAACAGGTGAAACACCTACACATTAATAAAATAAATGATACATAGAACTGCAGACATTATCTTTGTACAGATTTACAGGAACTGAAAAGTGAAAACCTGTCCTTTGTCCTTTGTGTGTGTGTGTGTATTTCTTTATATAGATGAGTCAGTGTGTGTTTTAAATGATGACACAGTCCAGTCCTGTGTGGCCTTTATCTTGCCCCCATTAGGACGCTGTAAGCAGCTTATTTCTGTCCCCGTTTTGCTGGAGCTCTGAATCCAGGACTTTAGTGTCCCTCAAGAGAGAAAGTGGCTCATCCTGACCACCTACTTAGCCTCGGTTCATCCCTCTTCTCTCTAGCTCTTCATGTGTGGTTTAACATATGTAGGCATAAAAATCTATGTTTGGCTAGTTTCAGTCTGCATGGTCGGACACTACCAGCTAGTTATGTAGCTTGCTAGCTGTAACTGCAAGTAGAAGCTACAGTACAAACCCATAACAGTTGTCATTTATAAGCTCTTATCACACATACAAACAAAATGCTATCCCATACAAGTACAGATGCTAAGTGCAGACCTCCACTTTAATGATCAGTCTGAGAACAGACATGACCTGGACTGATTCATCTGCACTGTTTTGTGTTGATGTCAGCCTGATATCATCTCTGGCCACCAGATGTGAGGCCGTGGAAGTCGAGTGAACAGTTTCTGGGTTCTACTTTATTCTGGTTATCTCCCCAGCAGGAACACACTGAATAAAGTTCACACTCAGTTCACTCAACTTTTACGGCCTCACAACTCGTAGCTAGAGATGATATCTTTTCAGCAAAGCAAACTGAGAACTCAGATCAGCGTGTAGTTGTATTTTCAGCCTGTCCTTCTAGGTCTGCTACAAGCTAGTCAGTCAGTTAACCACCCTGGGCCTGCTAATATACCCAGCTATCATATACAGTATAACTTTTTGTACATTTTGTACCAACTCATTTTCCACAAAGTAGACATTTTATACCTCAGGCAGTCTGAACTGAACCTCTTATAACAAGTAACCTTTGTGTACATGTAACATTTAGTGCACCTGTTATTTACTGAGAAAAGGCACAAATGCAAAGATGGATCTTGGGATTTCAGGAATTGACATTGAATTGTTCAAGAAAGAATTACAGTTGATCAGACAAATCAGCTTTTTTTTTAAATCCAGCCTGAGAACAAAAAGCTTTTTACTCTTTTTGCTCTTTCTTTGTTTTATTGTTGCCCCAAGCTCCTGATTCAGGATGGCAGCACTGTCTGGCTGTCATGATTTTAAAACCTCGTCCTTGGACCGGTTTTATCAAAGAATGGGGTATTCAGTCTCCAGCAGGACTCTGTGACCGGCTACAGAGAATTCATTAACACTCTGCCTCTAAATCTTACCTGACTTCTAATTCTTGTTCACGTACTTCTTTTGTTCCATCTGTCATTCTTCTGTTTTGTGTTTTTATGCTCTGTTCTCTCCAACCAACCTTGTCTTTCTGAGTCCCCCCCGTCCTTCCTGTGATACACTGTGAAACTGGGTGCGCGCTGTGTCGTGCTTCCAATGATTTATTGCCCATATTTACTAAAACTTGTCAAAGACCGGCATATGGGTTTGATAACCAGGAAGTGTTTCTGTAGATGGCCATGATACAGAATTTCATCAGGCTGCTGCAATGTCAGTAAATACATCTTAGGGTTTCTGTTTAAAGTCTAAAGTCCAGATGGACGTCAGGGAGCCACATACAGAAAAACACAGGATTTCTACCACTTTCTCAGTCATGCAAATGTGCTTTAAAGACATGTTGAAAACCTTGACGTTATAATAGCAAATACATTTAGTCCTCCCATCACATTTTTAACATTTCCTTTCCATCTGACTTGCACTGGAAGTGTAATAACTCTGGCTTTTGTTCTCAGCTGCCAAGCAGTGATTTTCCTATGTGTGGTCTGAACTCCTTCAGCTACATGTCATCCTTCTGGACATTTTAATGGCCTCAAAAGAATGCATATCATTTTTTGATAACTAAAAACCCTAATGTTTTTTTTTTATTATACCAGCTGAATGTTAGTTTACATTATCCTTAAGAGACTTTAAGTTCCTGGGCCCTTTGAAACTCATGCAGATCCCATGTATTTTGGAAAAACAAAATCATTAATTTCTAATTGGAAGATTTTTTTTACCCGACTGTGCTGCAGTCGAGCTTACTGGCCATTAGAGACCTTCCTTTAACCTAAAGGTCACACTTTCAACCACAGGCAGTACTGTCCAATACATGTGTGCCTTTATAAACACTCTCCCAGGTCACAGTGAATAACAGTAACATTTCTTTCCATTTAAACAATATATCAACGACAGTGATGTTGCATTTAAACTGAAATGTTGTGGTGTCTGAGTGCGGTAGCCTGGTCATAGTATTGACACAACATTGACAATATGGATTCTTTATCACTAATACCTTTATTCTTTCTTTCTCTTTTCCTCTCTGCCTTTCCTGTGTCGTTCCAGATGTGACTCAGAGAATCGTTACCTTGGTAACCCTCTCCGAGGAACATGTTACTGTAAGTATCCTGTTGATGCTTCACACACACACACACACACACACACACACGACTAATTTGCCCCTGCACACTGTGTCATGCTGTGCCCCATGTTTATCTTTTGTATATCCCTGAAAGGTAGGTACCCTAGAAGCAGACTTTGACTTCCCATGAAGGGACACACACTTATCTGTTAGAGAGTAACACACAGAGGTACGATTTGTTTAAATGTTGTTAGTCAGTTATAATTGTTCATAGTGGAAAAGAAACAAAGCATTATCAGTGATGGTGGTGGTGTTGCTCCAAAAGCTTTCTGTACTCCAAATATAAATTTTTGTGGCAAAAAAACATTCCAGCACAATTTACAGGCTTTGAGGGGTATATGGCATCAGGGCTGTTTGCACCTTTCAAGTCCTAGTATTTAATTTCTTGATTTTGTACCTGTGCTTTATTTACAGTAGTTGTTTTGGGACAGTGACTTACAATAATTTAATTTTTTTTTACATCTCTGGGGTCATTACGGCTTGGCAGATCAGGCAGAGACAGGGATACATGCTGTCTTCCACGTCTGCACCTCTGTCTAGAGGCAGAGTAAAAGCAGCGTGATACACGACAGCAGTTCCCAATGTATGAAGAAAGAAGAAATCAAATATACCAGGAATAGTTAGAGGCAGTAGAGGTGTTGGCTCTTGTGATCTCAGCTTAGCTTGGTGAGACAAACACAAGTGAATATGGAAAGATAACATTAGGAAAATAACACAATATTTGTGCTGCAGTTTATTGCAAGGACTTTCCAAAGTGTTTTCGTTCACTCATCTGACTTTGTCCTGCTTCCAGACAGTAGCAGGGTCCCATTCACTTAGGTCGTTTAAAACAAATTGCTGGTTGTCCTTTTAAAAGCAGACAAAGGAGGAGTGGTGTAGTCAAAACAGATGTTGTGTGGCACACAAGCGCATGCTCATCTGCTCTGTGGGTCTCTCACACATACACACTGGTAGACAAATAAATACACACACTCAGTGTATGGACAGTCATCGTCGGTTTTCATATTATTACACACTATAACAAAGTTCAAGTCCTGTCAGTCTCAATAGCCCTCCTGTTCGAGTGGGTTATTATGGTTTCAATGAGAGAGGCTTGAAAGGTTACAGCAATCAGAGGAGTCATGCCACCAAGTGCGCTCGTCACTTCAAATGCCTTGATGTCAGAAATAGCTTCAACACTGTTTCAAGATGGTAACAAAGGCTCACCTTTATGGCTGCAAAGCTGTCACGGTAAAAGGCCATTTATAATGTTTCTTTTAAGGCACAGATTCATAAAATTAACTGAGAAATCTGCCCTTTTTAAGAAGATCATTAGTCGTTAAAAAAAAACACATTTTGTATTTTAAGGTTGTAACAACTCATGTCGTCATTTGGGAGCAAAACCAAGCTCGTGAAAAGGCCTGAAACACAGGGATGGAACCCATGATATTATCTGTACTGAGTGCTCCCTCTGGGGTAGTGAAGTGTTATTTTACACTTCATGGATGGTTTGGTTTTACCCTGCTGGCTTGAATTCACTACAGGTAGATGGCACCAATGCAATGCCCTTACCCAGCACTGTGGAGGGCACATGCATGTAGTCAAGCACAGAAACACACAAGCACTAGTTTTTATGGCTCTTAAAGTCATTTGCTCCTTGTTATCACTATGGCTGCAGCTGAAGTGATGTGTTTTGGCTGCATTGTGTCTTGTCGTTAATGTAACATTATCTTTTCTGCTGTCTGTGAAATGGGGTCGGCTTTGTTTGAATAAGAGCAAGCACGCTCAATGTGCATACATGAATACACACAATACCTTTTCTCACACACATGCAGAGAGTGGGTGTGTATGATTTACACATTTAAAAGCCATCTATTTCCCCGTACTCTAAGGAAAGCAGCCACAGTTGTGGTTGAAGTCAATATTGGCCTTAAATGTCACTGGAAGTAAAAAAAAAAAAAGTACATGCAGATAGAGGCAGTGCAGTCCTAGCTGTCCAGTAAGGTAGAAAATATTTAGAAGCAACACTTCAGGAAAAAGGTTAAGCACTTAACTATGAAGAGAAACGCGTGAAGGTCGAACGGTTGAATATCATAATATGTTAGGCCCCCCTTGACATCTACACTGAATCAGACATGTTTAGTAGTCTGCTCCCTTCTCTGTCTGCTGCCTCTCCTTTCCTCTTTCAAAGTCAGCTGTAAGCAGACTAATTGAACATGAACTAGGCAGTCACAAGATTCTGCCATGCCAGAGTGAAATGTTGCATACGGGGGATGAAACACATGCCCAACCATCTACCCCGACTGTCTCCCTAAGAAGAAAGTCTGAAGTCCTTTGCTGGTCCAACTCAGGCAACACTAAATCATTTTTTAAAAGTTGTTTTGTGTCAGTATAATAATGTCATAGTACTTGGTCCTTCACAACCGAGGGATGATGTTTACGATCTACATGCCATTTTGTTATGCGGCTCCTCAAATACAGTTTGTCTCTCTGGAAAGAAGCTCTGTTTTTTGCTTATGGGATTGTTCTTGCTGGGGAATGTGGCTCCATGTATACATTACATTGTCAAAGGACTAAACTAGACTCTACACATTCACTGAAGTGAAAGCTCAATGCAACATAGTCTGAATAAAAACAGAACAAGCTGCAACACACAGAGGAACGTCACAACAATAAAACAGCAGTCAGAAATTCATATTGATGAAATATTTTCATCAGACTGATAAATGTGTCCAGCTACTGTCGGCAGGGTTCCTCGTCTCGCTCGGGAGATGAAGTTCAGACAGTGATGCTTTGGTTCAGTTAACGCTGTCATATTGAACCACCAGTCGACTGATGAAAAGCAGCTCTACTGTTCAATGAGTTTGCCCCCAGTCAGGCTAGTGTTTATGCACAGGCATCAGCAGGGCAACACTTTAATGAACCGCTGTCATATTCCATCACAGTCGGCTACAAGGGATGTCTCATCAGAGATGGCCTCGAAGTGTCCCACCACTTCCACTGGAAAGACCAGGCGCCCATTGAATTACCAGCTAATGCCACAGTCAGCTTTGCTTACTGCCCTCAGGCCAGCTGGGAAAGCTTAGTCAGAGGGAAGAGGGAAGAGGCTCTGATATTTATCACTGCTGCAATTAAAGGTCAATTAGTGACAGAACAAAACAAAAACTGAGTCAGTGGTAGAAGAGACATGAAGTGTTGATTAGTCATATTTCCAGGTTGTACTAGACTCGATGTCTTGTTATAGTGCTAAAAGTGATATTAAAGACAAGTCTAAGTTTGTGTGTCAGTTCAGTTCAGACTTCTAAATAGTTGCATGGCAGTGATCAGTAGTCATCGTTCCTGGCCTAAGGCTCTTCATTAGACCACGGTCTGGCGTCAGTCCAGGATGCCTCAATATTTGCTGACAGGCAGTTTGTCTGGATGCCTGTCCACCAAGGATTAATTGGGCCTTTTAGGCCAAAACCCTTTCTTGCAATCCCACAGTGCAACCTGACAGACTATTAAATATTCTGACTGATTTTAGATGAGTGAGTCTCAGTAAGAGCTAGGAGTGTACACATTGGCTTTGTGTGTCCCATACTGTACTCTATTTACTGTAATGTAATCCAATACTACAGTACTCCAATAAATCTTAACTTTGTGAAGATTAGATTTACAAGAGGTGTTGATTCTACTGCAGCAGCAGTTTGTGATGTAGTTGTATTGGATTTTGTTACTTGGTATGTGTGTGAGCTATTCTACTGGATTATTTTCGAGGTGTGTTTATAATTTTATTCCTGGGATGTTCAGTTTTTTTCTCATGTATCCCACAGCTCTGTGTTTATGTGTACTACGGTTTAAAAAGAGTGTCACCTTGGTAGGGTTGATGGATTAACCACACCCTGCCACATGAAGCCTGTTTGGATGTGGTAACCATTTTGGATCCTTTTGACCTGATGAAGATCCAAGTGGGATGACATTTTTAAATTCATTTGAAGATTTGAGTGTTGAGTGTTCATGCTTTTGCATCTTGGCCGTTTTTCCTACAGCCTTGCACCCGGTGTGTATGCACCTGTGCTTCCATCCCCACCATCTTCCTAAATGTATAGGTTTTCATGTGATTTCTGAATTTCTTTAGAACTAGCATCAAAGCCCTGGTGTAGATCATTATACTGTTAAAGAATTTATAAGAAATCAAGGCCACTGACCTCATGCATACATTACCTCCAGGTTACCTTGACCTCTGGCCAAGGCTGTTATCAAATTTGTGTTGTCCTTGTGTTAACTCCCCTGGTTCGAGGCCGGTTCCTCAGCGAAGTGCTGCAAATGTGAAATAATGAGTTGTTAACAAGCATTAAATGAAATCTCAGCAAGAGAGTCTGACAAGCTGACATTGTAGGTGAGTTCATGCTTGTTTGGGATTTTAATTTGAAGCAGACTTTTTGTGTTCCAGGTGACGGCTTTCTCTTCTGTCTTCTCATTTCATATATTCTGAATCAGCTTACATATTATGGTAATAAGATCGCCCGCCTGTGGACCTGATTGATGCCTGAATTGGTGTGGACTATTTCTAATTCAGCTCTTCTGGGGATCACTAATACCTTTTGCAATACGTTGATACAATTGAGTGAGAGTCACATGTGCTAGTGTAAATGAGACTGCCTAAGTGAACCTGCTGTCAGATTTCTCAGATGGGATTTGTAATTGGCCGAGATGAACTTTTAAACCTGGCTAATGCTCTTGTTCCTAACAGCTTTGAAATCAAACATTAGAAACACACAGAGGAGCTGGTGTAATTAGTTTTTAGTGTTCAATGTGTTTTGTGCTGCATTCTTATTTGTTTGCTTAACTATGCAGACACACAAACACCTATAAACAGACACACAAGCACAAATCAGACATGTATGCAACCAGCCAAAACATTTGCAGACGAATATATACTGACTGGATTGAGGAGTAAATACACAAAGATACTTTGCATGCGCACGCACAGTTACGCACAAACAGAAGTCTGCCCATTCCCTTTCTCAACCATTAACCCCCCCCAAAAGACCCAAAGTTGTACTGATGACCCTTATGGGATAAACAACTGAGCAGCAGCAGAGCGTGTTTGAATGGGAGGGAGAGAGGAAGAAGGAGGGATGTTAAGAAAAGAATCTGTCTTTGATCTGATGATATCTGCTGTTCGGTCTAACCTACCATAGAGGCTGAACAAAACGGGTGTTTGTCAAATATAATTTGCTTTCATCCTGGATCGTACAGTTGAGAGGAAGGTGGGAGTTAAACATCTCTCTCTCTTTACAGTGTGTGACACAAAGTTAGTCTGCTCCATCGGCTCAACACTGTGCCTACCTCCTGCTGCCACTCACAGCTAGACAGCAACACATCACCTGTAACGGCAGTGGATGCTCAGGAACATTCAAACAGTCTCTGACATGTCTCTGTCTGCCAATCGTGCCCAAGTTCCCAGAGCAGCTGCATTGGGGAGCTCAGAAGAGCTAGAGCTTGGGCAGCAATGCAGCAGTTAGATACTCTGGGTTGCTAATGAGACCACTTTATTAAACAAGCCATGTGTTGGTCAGATGTAACTATTCCACATTATGCCACTTTCATTACAGAATTGTAATAAGTTTTAACTTTCTACAACAATATAATTAATTTGATGAAGCCTGAAAAGTGTGGCATGGTGGTTCAGTGGTTAGTACTGTCATCTCACAGTAAGAAGGTTCTAGGTCCGAACCTCATGGCCAGCTGGGGCCTTCCTGTGAGGATTTTCCTCTGGGTACTCGGCTTCCACGCTGCAGTCCAAAGACATGCATGTTAGGATGTCTGTCACTGTGTCACCTGAGATAGACTGGTGACCTGTCCAGGTGTACCCCATGTCTCACCCAACATCGGCTGGGACTGGCTCAGAATCAGGAGGCAGAGACAGAGGGACTTTCTTGTGAAGGTTAACTGATAGTTTTAAACGCAGTATTCTGGCATGAAATGTCTATGAGCAGTCAGGCCATGTTTAGTGATTCTTCCTTTGACTGAAGGTCTGGCAGCTCATGTCAGCTGACTTCCTGGAAGCTGTCAGTCGGTCGTGGTGGAGTATAGAACTACAATAACCTATCGGACTGATGGCCCAGAGTGTGAAAACCCTTTTGAGTGTTGCCTGCATGAGTCAGCATGAGCTGCCCTTGGATGCAAATATCACACACACACACATTACATGAAAGGTTAGCACTGAACAGTCACACTGATTAACTTAAATATCCTCTCATGGCCACATACTGTAGCTGTTTCTCTCCTTACTCCCCCTTCTGCGTCTCCTCTTCCTCTGCTACTTCCCCATCAGGCAGATGGACGAGGTGACCCAGTGTGGCTCCTGCTGTCCATCCACATGTGGAACTTAGTGTGCTGCTCTCCAAACACTGGCCATTGTCTCACTGTTTCCAGACACTCAATAGGAGCTGCTTTCAGGAATGATTCAATCTCAGAGAGAACATGATTATTTAGACTCTCACTCATGTTCTTATCGATTAGACCATTTGCTTGTGTAAGAAGCTGCTCTCCTCGTGTTCATATTGTGTGTTTACACACACATGCACACACGTTGTTTGTTTTGTCACTGATTGAGATCTTTGACCAAACTGTCACCACTGTAGCCTCTTCATCTAATTGAATATCGACTTCTGGTCGGTGTCGCCCACTGTCTTACTCTCATAAATCTCTGTTTGATGGGCATCTTCAAATAAATGAGCTGGAATGGCGGTTTTATTTGGAATGACATTTGTGAAGGGAAAAGGAATGGGATCAGAAGAGGGCCAGATGCATGTGCATGAAAAATTACAGCAAACCCTAAAAGAACTGCATTATTATCGAAGCAATCCATCAAAGAGAATATTACCTGATGGAGGCGTTTCAAGCAAATAAAGCAGTAACGTACCACTGCTCAGCAATTCAGATCTGTTGATAGGACTCCTTTAGCAATTTTGGCTTTTTTATTTTTCATTTCTCGTTCTTGTCCTTGTCTCTCTCTGTGTCACATAGACAATCTGTTGATCGATTACCAGTTCACCTTCAGTTTGCTTCAGGAAGATGACCGTTACTACACTGCCATCAACTTCCTGGCTAAACCTGAACAGGTAACGTATGCACACATGGGCCCACAGGGACATTTGCTGCTTGTTGCAGATAATTTACAGTGCAAATGGGATTTAATTTAAATTTTGAGCCAAATAAATGCAGCTTGTTTCATATTCGTGGCACCCTTTTTTCAGTTTCAGATTCTTAAGGTATTTTTCCATTTATTGGAAGTTGGACAGGGACATGGTGACTTGGCAAAGGTTTGTGGCTCAAGCTGAACAGGGTATGCTGTCGTTACTTGATGTGCAACATGGAGCGTTGGAAGTTGTTGTTTTTTTTAAGTAGAAGAAGCTGTAGAGCATTTCTTGTCTAACGAAGGAATCTGCTGGCAAACACTGAGACACTCGATTTTAATGTTAAATCCTTGTTTTTTAGATCTGACTTTTCCTCTGCCTGAAGGTGTGTTCAGGTGCAACTTTACGTGGGGTTTTGAGGCAGCATTGCAAGAAAAAAAAATCAATGAATCCATAAAGCTGCTGGCAGATTTAGATTGGCACTGGACGACACAAATTGAGCAGTAAAACTTTAAACATTTTAGCAAATTATTTTCCCGTTGCATGAATGCACACAAGAACAGCAGACCTGAAAGAAAATAAGTAAATCAATTGCACGCAGTAATGGGGAAGGTATCCAACAACAATATGGGCTACAAATGAGGCCCAGTAGTCATTAAATAAACCAAGAAATGAAAGAATCAGTTATTTGCTTTGCATTCTTTGAATGTGTCACAACCTATTTGCACTACTGTCTATTTTAGATCAAAATCAGGTTGTCCATGTCGGCCAACTAACCCAACCTTGCATGTGTTTTTACTTTGTGTGCAGGTCAACAAAAACCTCGACATGTCCATCAATGCCTCCAACAACTTCAACCTCAACATCACTTGGTCCTTGAGCTCAACAGGTAGAGAGCACAGTGTTTGTACTACACTGCATCTACACTAAGATCTGCTTGGTTATCTTGAAGGATTTTGGCTTCTATGCTTTTAGATTAGTAAATCAAAAAATGTAAAGGCTCTGCAGCCCCATGCATACTGTACTTAGACCTCTTCTCGGCACCGAGTGGCCAAGTGCAAACTTCAACTTATATTAGACTTATTGCTGATTAATGTGCAGAATCACTGATCAGAGCATAGTGAAAGGTGCCCACAGCAGTTTCCTAGAAACATATGTAATGCCTTTAAGTTGTTTGGTTCAATCAGCAGTACAAACCCCATGAAATGTGCAGCTTACTTTCACATAAATTTAGGAAAAGCAACAAATCATAAAAATTGAAAATGTCAAACTATCCAAGTATCAAAAATTCAAAAACAATTTGATCATTATTACTTGAAATCCCAACACACCAGCTAATTTGTGTGCTGCAGTGTAATGCCATTTGCAATTTGATCATTATTATTTGAAATCCCAACACACCAGCTACTTTGTGTGCTGCAGTGTAATGCCATTTGACTTCCATGGAACATGTTGAGATATATTCCACATATTTACATGTAAAATAAAACCTGTACATTTAGAATCCTGTCAAAGACAAGTTAATAAGGAGCATATCATACAGCTAAAATCAGTTCAAAGCGATCTTCTTAAAAAAAACCTCTTTATAATGTGACATTTCTGTACTGTCTAATGTAATTTGATATGAATTTTGACAGTGGGTGATTGTTTAGTCTGCCTCTAAAACTCTGTCTGTGAAGATGTCCCACAGTCACTATCTGTCAGTTGTGGCCGAGTGTCCTTAAGCTGTTTTGGATTTTGGAATTAAGGCATTTTGTACATTTTCCCTCCTGATTTCAATTAAGATAAAAGCATGCTGCTTTCTTGTGGTGTCTTGGGGCCCAGAGCCTCTTCAGTTTGGGACTGTGTGTGTGTGTGTGTGTGTGCAGACTATTACAGAGTGTTTAATGGCCCCGATAAAACAGGGGGTAGAAATATTTTATTCACAACGCCTGGAAAACTCTGCCATTAACACAGAACTGCTGATAATGCTCTGAAGGATACTGAAATCAGACCACTTCAGCACTGAAGCAAATTTACAAGCATGCTCTGAATTACTGTGAGGTGTCATGCAAATACATTTGCCACTAAATATTCATTTGCCTGCGTGAGATGAACGGCACACCTTGACATTTTAACATCGAGACTATTTTCATTTAACTTGCTCACTTAACACGTTTTCTGTAAAAAATGCCTCTTCAAGGATGTTCCCACTGACAGCAGCTTGACTGCTGTGCTGGTTTCAAGGGGCTGCTTAGTTTTGAATTGAAAATTTGTTTTTGCTGCTCTTGGCTGTTTTCTACATGGTGTCAAAGTGAGGGTTTCTTCTAATTTGTCCTGAGAAGTCCTTTTCTTGATAGACCAAGTCTTGGACTGTTTGGGTACTCTCTCACTGACAGACAGAATTGCACCGACAGTGAACACTGTTGAGATGCTAGTAAAGTATATTGTGGACGATATTTTTTAGGTGTAAGACTAAAGAGTATGCAAGAATAATTCAAAAATTAAAATAATTCAGTGATTCATTTTGTTCTACTCCTTGTAATGGTATTCTACAATCGCTGTTTGTGTCTGGCAGCTGGCACCATCTCGGGTGAGGAGATGCACATCACAACTAGGACCAACATCAGGGAGCACCGCAACAGTTTCTCCTGTGAAAAGTTTAATTTCAGAGTTCGCCACAACATCACCTTCTATGTCTACGTGTCCAACTTCAGCTGGCCAATCAAGATCCAGGTAAGAAGCTCAGGGGAGGGGAAGGTGGTGGCGAAGAGGCTGGAGAATAAAGACAGCAGAAACGATGTTTAAACTTTTTTTTAACATTTTAACTTCTCACCAAAGCCGACTACTGATCACTGAACTGAAAAGGGAAACTAAGCCTGCGTGGCTAATAAGGCTGTAAATAATTTTTTATTATCACAGTTGTCTAGAGCAGTGAACATCCCCAGTGTTCAGTGTGGCATCTTCAGATGATTTGTTTTGTCAGACCAAGAATCAATGTTATTCATGTTATAGTCATAAAACAGAAGCAGCAGCAAATCCTCCCATTGAGAAGCTGGTACGATGACTGATCAGACTGATTAGCTCAGTCTATCCAATAATTGTTCCAGTGTTATGGCAACAAATATGAAAATGAAAAAGAGAAATGCAGACAGCTGTGTTGAGGATATGTGTTACAATATTTACACATTGATGCACAAACAGGAGCAACACATGAAAGCACCTCAAGAGCCATGGTAAATGATGACTACCCTGCAGATCAATCAGCCATTACTGATAACCATCTCCTCAGATGGTAAAGTTTCATTATTACCACGGGGATACAGCCTACGTTGTGCCTCTCTTTGTGTTTTACTGTATGGCCATTAGATCTTGTCAGAAGCAGCTGTAGGTACAGTGGCCAATGCGTTTTTACTGTAACAGCCTGTGCGCTCCTGTGAACTGTAATCTGTTTTTGTCAGAGGATCACTTTTGACCATAAACACAGTGATTGCAATATATTTGATCAGATTGCTTTAAAAACAAACATTTAAAATGTTACATTTAATAAACCCTATTTTCTAGTTAAATAGAAAATAAATAGACTCATTTCTGAGGCCCCCTGGAATCTCATTCTGTCAGTCAGCGGGTCTGAGACACCCTGTATTTCACACACTGCTGCTACTGATTTGGGACGTGTGATGATGATGGTGGCGGTGGTGTTGGCAGATGTGGTCCTGATGACTGGTGGTGAAGCAGGTTATAAACTCAGTGAAATCAGATTGATTGTAGGCAGGAAAACGCAGAGTGAGGAATTTATCTAGACCTGAATCTGAGAAAGTTAACGTGTGTGGTCGCTGTTTCTGTGCCCACAGTGTCAATCAGCGTTCATTTTTTTAAATATTAAAGTTATTGTAGCAATAAGTAATGCAATACAACATGCATGTCTGTTGAGAGTAATGACAGAATCAGAGTAATACTGTCATCTTTAACTCAATACATACCAGTACAGACATGTTTCATTAGTGCTGCAAGAGCGTTTCTTATTTTCAGTTAGCAGCCGGTCTGAAGGCTCAGCTTTGGCTGAAACACACGCCGCAGTTACACAAGCTGTTGGATAAGCATCAGTTTCTAATGAACATTTCTTCTGACTGCTGACGGGATATTCTGTTAAAATTTTAGAAATATCGTTAATAACAGAGAAGGTGTGGCTAACTATCTTTAGTGAGATATTTAGCTTAAAATGTACTTGGATGCACTTCCTGAAGTTCGACCTGCCCCAGGAGCTGCTGATCCAGTTCTACAGAGGAGTCATCCAGTCTGTTCTCTGCACCTCCATCACTGTCTGGTTTGGCTCAGCAACCAAACAGGACAAGTACAGACTTCAGCAGACAGTCAGGACTGTAGAAAAGGTCATTGGTGTGAACCTGCCCTCCATGGAGGACCAATACATTGCACGAGTCAAAAGGAGGGCGAAGAGGATCACTGCTGACCCCTCACACCCTGGATACAATCTGTTTGAACTCCTCCCCTCTGGACGGCGTTACAGGTCACTGTGCACCAAGACAACCAGGCACAGGGACAGTTTCTTCCCCCAGGCTGTCACTCTGATGGACACTTAACCCACGACAGTATGATTGGACAATAACCCTCAGAGCAATACCTGTAAATATACCTCGTACAGATCATACAGATCCGTACTGGTCTCTTTTTAAGAAATCTATTTTTATTCTTATTTTTATCTCGTTTCCTAATGAACATTCCTTTGTCTGTTTGCATTGTTTATTGCTTGTTTATACTGTTTCTTTTGTTATACTACACAGCTATGTTGGTATATTGTCTACTTGCCCCTTGCTGTTGCCTTGCATGGGGATATGTATGTTCACATTGAGAGCCGCTGTACCAGAGTCAAATTCCTCGTGTGCAGCACACCTGGCCAATAAAGCTGATTCGGAATCTATACTCAATAGAACAAGTCTTCTCTCCTACAATTTGCACTGTATGCAATCTTATTTTGATGTCGGCATTAAGCTACTGTAAAATCTAAATCTAATTTATCGTTTATATCTTGTATCTATGTAAAGTTTTGTTTTAAAATGGATTATTGTCTTGTAAATGGCCTAACATGTTGTGATAAACCTGCATTTTTTCAAGCAAGAGATATAAAACTCTATCTTCAGTCCGGCCTGAGTAAGTCGGTGTTTGGGTGAACATAGTAAAGCAGGTATGATTTGCATCATCATCACCACCATCTCCAGTTTTCAGGAGCTGTCTCTGAGCAAAACATACAGCCCTGACAGGACACTGAACATAAACTATTCTGAAAAGTGTTTGGCAAATCTGCTATCACATTTAATGATCTGTGAGTTTTCCAACGTCTCTCCATCAATTATGCAGCACTGGATTAAATCTCCAGGCGGCAGCCACACTCACTAAATATTCACGCTCCAGCCTTATGATCCATTAAATTGAAGTAGACTTTTAGCGGTGATATTTTAAGATGACTGTCATGCAAGGTGCCAGGACTGTGCTGATGGATGAGTCAAGAAGTGACAGAATGGAGAAATTAGGGGAGAGTGAAGGCAACCAGGCTGGTTAACTGATGTGGGGACCAGCATACAGTCAAAATGTCCAGAGTTGAGACAATGAAGACGACTTGATTGACAGATTGACAGCAGGTCTGGACACAAAGATTTAAAGCAGAAGATGAATGGATGGACTGAAGAGCAGAGTAAACGTTGGAGGAGAATGATTAAGTGGGAGTACAGTAGCTGCTTGGTTACAACTGCATTCAGGATTATCCATCCATTATCTGTGGGGGTGGGGCACACCCTAGGTTATCACAGCGGCCACAACGTTTGAGCCTGGAGCCTTCTTAATTTGAGGTGACAGTGCTAACCACTGCACCGCATTCTTTTCAGGTTTCATCAGATTAAATATATCATCGTGGAAAGTTAATAATGTTGTGTTATTACAATTCTGTAATGTCAGTGACAAGAGGCAGGCTTGGTTACGTCCAATCAGCGTGTCGAACTGTTGCATCGCTGCCCAGCTTCTAGGTGTTTTGAGCTCACCTAGAGCTGCTCAGAGATCTGTGGTCACGGTGGGCAGACAGAGACGTGTCAGAGACTGTATGAACGTTCCTGAAAAGGAGCATCCACTGCTGTTACAGGTGATGTGTTGCTGTCTATTGGAGACATAAAATGGTTCCTCACAGTGAAGCTTACTTTCACCACACTGATTCATGAGTGATATTTAAAGTATACGGTTCACATGGATCACCTTTCATCACTTCTGTTATTTATATCACCACATCCAGTGAAGAGAACTGAAAGCAGGGATTATTCAAAAATGTAAAAGCAACAATAAACGTACCCTGCTGACGGGCAATGTCAGCCTGGTACACGTTTCACCATCAGTCCACTGCACGTAGCCATCTGTCACTGATCATATGTTGAGCTCCTAATGTTTGGAACAGCAAGAAGAAAAGCCTTGACAAGTCCAATCAATTCATGCCCAACAATAAAAAATCTTTTTTTTGATAACTCAAGTTCTCATATATGAAACCTGCTGCATTTAGTAAGTTAATCCCTAAGACTTGTTTTATCACAGTCATTCAAATGTTAGCTTTTACTGCTGAGTGTCCTGGACCTCGTTATAGGTCATTTGTCCATCGATTGCTCGCCTCATATGCATTTCCCATTAATGCGACATTATCAGCGCTCCATATATCTGCTGGTTGAAAGGTGATATGATAATTACCACAATGAGGCCTATTTCACTGCCATGTCAGATGTGCCCATGTGTAACACAAGAAGCACTCAGCGTCCTGTGACCTTGGTGGCTTCCGACGCCAGAACAGGCCGAGGATGAGAAATTGTCCGGAGAATTGCTAATGACCTTCCCTGATATATTGGATCTAATAGATGTGCACACGCACACATACAGGTGCATGCATGCACAAACATGCTGAGGTCAAGCACAGACACCTCAGAGCAACAAACATCAGCAGCTACTGACCAGGTGATCAGGAAATGTGGAAGGTTTCACTTTTCTTGGGGGTCATCTCAATGATTTTGGTGACTCCTTGATGTCTTATTGTACTGCAGCCGGCAGGTCTGACCTAAAAGCTTTACTTGTTCATGAGAAATACCAACATTTAATCAACACCTGCCATGAAATTACTGATTAAATCAGTTTACAAGGAGGGCTGAAACAACTCCTGTTTAATTCAGTACTCTGTTCAGGTTGTGGGCCTATATCCATCCATCCTTTATCTACACCGCTTATTCCTGAATAGGGTCACTGGGGGGCTGGAGCCAATCCCAGCTGACACTGGGCAAGAGGCAGGGTCCACCCTGGACAGGTCGCCAGTCTATCGCTGGGCTGACATGTAGACAACCAACCACACACACATTCACTCCTGCAGGCAGTTTAGAGTCACCAGTGAAGCTAAGCTGCATGTCTTTGGACTGGGGGAGGAAGTCGGAGCTCCCACAGAGAACGTAACTGGGCCTATAATTTTTTTTTAAATTTTCATTTAGGGGCATCTGTGCCCTGAAATATAAGTGTTAATAATTTGCTTTGTTTTAAGTTATGCTAGTGTATTTCTAAAGAGCCTGGGTGTCATGCACAGCTCTTTTTTTTTAATTTGGGGCAGGAAAATGTGACCTTTTTGGACCCTCATCAGTTGGCACCTCTGACAAACAGTTAAAACAACATACAGTACCAGTAGTTTTATCATGTCATACCTTGAG